AAAAACTGGCTTGTCAGCCAGTCAGATCGCTTGGAGACCAAGCAGCCATCTTTACCGAGAGGAAGATCCTGAACGCGGCAGGCCAGGGACTGCAGCTCCGCGCACACACGCACGGTCCTCAGCACGTCCTTGGGAACAGAATCGTCCACGAATCTCAGGTGGCGCAGGGACGCGGCCGAGCCTCGCAGCAGGTCGTTCAACAAGCCGGTCATCCCAGCGGGCGACGTGTTGACGTCGCTGGACATCCACAAGGGATGGACGGTGAGGCGCCGCAGAGCCGGCAGACCAGAGGCCAGCTCTCCCCCGTAGCATATGTCAGAGTCCACGTGGAGGGTCAGTTGTTCTAGCCGCTTCAGCTTGGCCAGCGCGGCGCATGGAAGGTTCCTCAGTGGTCCGCCCCTGCACGTTCCACCACAAACACGTTCATTCTCAGCCCGCCACTGACATTTTGTAATTGGATGATAAAAGAACGTGTACAGCAATCCTTACAAAATTCAATATATTATTTTCTATATCATTAAAAGTATTATCCCTTTTAAGAAATAATCAGTGCATTGACAATTTCTCAGCTTAAACTGCTAAAAAAAATGTTTGGTCACCACGGCGGAAAAATTTTGTTGCCGTAACTAACATGGTGCTCAATCTGCCCCGTTCTATGGTTATGACTCAGGGAATAGATTGAACAGCATTTTAGTTACAGCAATTGCTGCCATTTGGGTAATCAAAGTGTTTTTCTCAGTGTAGGAAAAACAAAGTTTGTTAATTCTTCAAAAAGAAAGCAACTCTTATTTGGTTTGTCCAGTTGCTACATACTCAAATCTTATGAATATTTTTATTCAGGGCTTACTAAGTTCTCTAAACATACTCCGCTTACGCATCTTACAAAACTCCAGTAGGACCAAATTTCTTTATTCTGACATTCAAAAATGCGTAAGCACAGCATGTTTACAGAGCTCAAGAAGTCAGCTAAGAATAAAAATATTCATAGGATTTTCGTGTGTAATTCCGCTAGAAATAGACTAGAGTACACTCTAAATGTTCTCTCTTAGACCGTTACCGACATTACTCTAAGGGAACCTAGGCAAAAGTGAATGCCCGATTGCCCGATCATGCCCAAACTCGGTATATTTGTTTCTTATCTTTATAGATGATGACTGATGGGTACTTTAGGTACTTTGCTAACAAGCAACAAATTGAAACGTCCACTCGCTGGGACTTATGTCTTGTCAATGAAACAGGAAACAAACAAAATTGAAAATTGTTCTCTCTAACGAAACAATTTTGTCTGTCGTTGGTTGCGTGTAAATCCGTTTCCTAGTTATAGACAAAATTGTTCTTCTACGTTCGGAGCGGGTATCCTATTAATGTTTAGACAAACACGTATGAGTTTTAAGAGGGTAGTGCTCACTATACTCACCATGGCCATGAATTCACGAGGAGCAGTCGGCCCAGGGTAAGGACTCTAACTTCATTGCGGTGCTTGAGGATGAAGCCTAACACCAGCGCACGGTCTGACTCGTCGAACGACTCCAGAGGATCATTGATCCTCCCTATGCCACTGCCAGTGTCGTAATCTGGCTCAGGGAAATGGAATTCGGACACAGAAGCCTTGCAACGTTTCAGCGCCGACACAGTTACCTGTAAACAAAGAGTACTCTGCAATCCAAAGTGTGTAACAAGTATGCGCTTTTCGTTTTTCCTGAATAATTGAAAGTATCTCGAGTAGGCGGCTCAGCACGTGCAGTGCATTACCCTCTTTTCGAAGTCGCAGCTCCAGGGCCCGTTGCAGTAGTCGATCCAGTCAAAGGAGATGCTCCTCAGCAGCGGAGCGTGCAGGAGGACCCGCGCCGCTTCAAGCAGGTCGCCGTGCGTGTCCTCGTCGTCGTCACCCTCGGGGCCATGGTCGCAGCCGCCCAAACTCACTTCCACGCGCCGCCAGACGCGAGGGTCGCGAGAAAGCCGCCGCCAGCGCTTGCAGACCAGCGGGACAGCGTACAGCAGCACACGGCCGTCAGCGACGCGGCCCAGGATGAGCAGCAGCAGCTCGTCGGGCAAGGCGTCCATCTGCAGGGGTCGTAAATCGGTAAAGAGAAGTCAACTTTCGTGTGTTCGGTGTAAGGAGGGTCAAAATTTTACCTCCGCAAAGCTCATGGATCAAATGAAGCCACTTAGTTCTTTTTAGAATGAATTCTACAACTCCTAACTAGATGACGATGATGGGTTTTAGGAGTGCGACAATCCGTCCTGTGAAAGAGAAAAATCCCTTCTAAAGAAACGAGATTGCTCTTCTAAATTAAGAGCATCATGAGAGAACTCTCTCAGAAATTGAAAAGAAACCAAGTGCCTTCAAAAACAGTACCAAAGCCAAAATCCGATCTCCTTCGGGATAGGCCTGCACGATATCTAGATTTAGATATCGCGATACGATATTGACTCCATATCGTGCTTTGGGTGATACGATATATCGTCGATATATCGTACAAATATCGTCCAATATCGTTGTATCGTGATATCGTCCAATATCGTGGTATCGCGATATCGTCCCATATCGTGGTATCGCCCTGTATCGCGATATCGTCTAATATCGCGATATTACCCTGTTGCGCGATATCGTCTAATATCGTGTATCGTGGTATCGTCCCGTTTGAGGGTATCGTCTACACTACTTCTTTACAAAAGCCCTGTTCATTAACAGAAATATTAGCTGGTTGATGTGAGTACCCGTCAAGCAGTGCCGAAAATCTGTCACCACTCGATCACCCACACTGAACACCCGCTCAGACGGTACCGTGGTGCCCTGTATGCACAGGTATTTCCGCGCTAGTTTCGCCAGGAATGGGAGCCTAGACTCATGAAATTTCCACCAATCGAGTGGACACTTGTCTATTTCGAGTGGTAGGATTCTTTTTTTAATGCGCTTCCTCAGTATCGTGGTATCGTCCAATATCGTGGTATCGTGATATCGTTCAATATCGTGGTATCGTCTAATATCGTGGTATCGTGATAGCGTTTAATATCGTGGTATCGTCCAGTATCGTTGTTTTGTAAGATATCGTGGTATCGTCCAGTATCGTTGTTTATACGATATCGTGGTATCGCCATTATCGTGCATCGTCCGAGGGGTGGATAACTCCTGAATTGGGTGTACAAATTTCAAGAATTGAATTTGAATTAGCTTGAATTGAATTTGAATTGGACTGAATTGGTTTTGAATTGCTTTGAATTATTGCGATTTTATGTTACTGAATTAGCGTGAATTGGCTTGAATTGGCTTGATTTGAATGTAAATTGTCTCGCATTGGACTGTATTAGTTGATTTAGTTTTGAATTCGTTTGAATTAAATTGCATTGGTCTGAATTAGTTTGAATTGGTCAGAAATAGGGGTGTACACTTGGCAGGGGAGTTCGAGCGGTCGTCAACTCTCCTTGGCCGTGTACGGAGGAATATTGAATATTACAAGTAATGATAGTAATATTGAGCCAATTTTCAAGCTGTGACGTCATAATACTAGAAAAATGTGTAATATCGAGGTAATATTACCAGTAATATGGCTAATATTGGTGTAATATTTGAGGTAATATCAGTCCGTGTACGGAGGAATATCGAAGTTGACGACCCCTCGGGGGAGTTATCCACCCCTCGGCATCGTCTCATATCGTATCGTCTAACGGATCAATACGATATCGTCCCCCACGATATCGACCCATTATCGTATCGTCTACGATACATCGTGATATCGTGCAAGCCTATTTCGGAGCAGCTTAATGACAAATTACAAGCGACGAAAAAACAATTAGGCCCGCCCTTCCGGCAGGGGCAGGGCCTGACTGACTGGCCTGCCGGCGGCGATGGTAAGAACTTAATCCAATGATGTAACGAGCCTTCGGCCCGCTTAACCCCTTTGTCTTTAAAATTTGCCCCGTAGACACGAGAAAGGGATGTAACGGTGAAGCACCGCGACTACAACCCACCCTTCTTTGCCCAAGGAGCTCTACTTTGACGAGTTACCCCTTAGAAGAACCTAAACAAAAATAACTTTTTGGGCGAATATTTGAACTTTGGGTACCCCCATTCACACCCTTAGGGGTGGTTGCCAGGATTTGCCGTAGGCGTTTCGTTCTCTAGGAGTGAACATTAAGATACCCTGAAAATTTCAAGTCTCTAGCACATCTCCGTCTAGTGGAGACAGACACGAGCACTGTAAAAAGTTTTCGGACTAAAAACAGGAAAACCTAAGAACAAGAACAAACAAAATACATCGAACTTCTCGTGGAATCGTATCTATCAATGTAAGCGAAGAGTCCTGGAGGTCGAGGATGACATCTCAATACCCCACTTCGTTGGAGAAGATGTTCTTCTGTCCGACGGCCTTTGCCAAAGACTTAGAAGAAAAATTTGAACTTTCGAATGGCTTTCAGCAGCTAAGATCAGAAGAGAAAGCTGCACTGGAAATGCAAGTGTGTGAACGTCGGTCACTTGTAGGAAATGCTGTTTAATCGAGATAAATAACACCTCAGGGCATACAGAATAATTATAGTAAAAAGCATTTAACGTACACATACTTGTTTCCAAGACCATCCACAGTGATAATTACTCGAAAAATTTCACATTTATGCGGCAGGGGTCAAAATGACCCCTTCCGCGGTTCTAGGTATACGAAAATGTCAGCGGTTCTAGTGTTAAATTGACTTGAAAAAGAAAATTAAGGAAGCTCATTTCACTGTGGCATACTAAAACAAAGTTATCCATCATTATTTTGTTGTTATTGTGACCGAAAACCGTGACTTCATGTGGGGGTGGTGGTCGGGTGTGCAAGGCAAAGTTATAACAACTCTTTTTTTTCTATCGCTACTTTTAGCCTCGGCAGAGTGAATCGCTGATGTCACCACCATCTTCTCCAGCTACCTTCCCACCCCCAACTTGAAAATGAAACCCGCCGCCTTAGCTCGAGGGCAAGCCCGAGTCCGAGTCCATCTCCATCAGCGAGCCGATCGCGGTCTACTACTCCACCATGTCGGCCTGGCAGCCAGACTCGCTTCAGATGACCCTTGGACAAATGTGTGACCAACGCTGCCGCTTTTGCAAGTAATAAGCTGGCGAAAGGAGACTGACTTTCAGCCTATACCGGGGATCTCGAGAGACCCTTTGCAGGTGTTGGGAGGGTCGAGCCGAGCTACGGTGGACGGGGGTAAGCAACGGAGCGTTTTTTTTAGCAGATGATACCTTACAACCTTACACCTAAATATATCTAAACATAACTATACATGAGTAATGTAAGGTGTCATTGCTTTAACTCTCGATTAAGAAATATTAAAGAGAACGTATAGC